GTTACTGTGCTCGTGACGAACAATTCATAGTGCTCTCTACTCCAGTCTTGTGATCTAACCAGATATCCGTTAAAAATTTACACGATTTAGAAACGGCACGAAACTCCAGCAAGATAATTTCCTTTTATGCAAAACCATTTATCTTTATTTATAGATCAAGTATAACATTAGGAACATTTAATCATCTTGGAGAGAGTTTCATCGTCTTGACTGTCATAACCGAATGTGACACACAGTTTGAATGCCGAATGGAGGATGACAGACAGCCGCTGCGGAGAGAAGAGTTTACGTGAACTTGACTTAAATATTCATCTGTACCTCACATTAAACTATGGAAAAGCTTCAGAACACTTGAAATATAGTGCACGAAAACTTTATGGTGCTTTATAATGTTTTTGTGGCTTTCGTGGGGCTTAATAATAACACAGAATAGTATACGCACTATATCAGATTTGGATTGGTCTCGTCTGACCGATACCCCGATCCAGCTGAAAATGCCAGTATCGGAGCGATACCGATACTGAATATCGGATCGGCGCACCCCTACCCTAGTGTCGTGCATAGGTTGCGTTAGACTTGAACATTGTCTGTCATTTTGACGGAAAGGGTCGTAAAAATTCCATCATCTATTATTACCCGCCACTGATTGGCAGCTGCCTTTAGCAGAGCCTTTACCGATTACCTCCATTGATCAAAGCATTCGGCACGGTCGTCTGTGAGTGACGTCACCTCCCAATACAAACATACCCCATAGTATAGTCCCGCCCCTCACATTGATTAACAGCTTTCCATGTAGACATCGGAAATATTGCGATTCCATTTGAGTTTTGGCAGGTTACATGCACGATGCAGAGAGAGTGAAAAAGCAAATGTGGTAATTAATATTGCTATTTAAATATGACAGTCCCATAACTCGTAAGACATGAGAAATACAGTTGCAAATGGACTTTGCTTTTTCGTTTGAAATGAGGCAGTCACTGTGCGTTCGCGAAAGCGAAAATGCAAACGGTAATGCAAGATTTGCAATTGCATTTGGATTGTCACGATTTATAAGTCCACGTGGAAAACGCAATTGAAAATACAATTTGCAATTGCTTTTAAAAATTGCCCTGAATATTCTTCCATACAGGCAGGTGCTGGTCATTCAAAAGCTAAATGCAGAAAATATAACGAGGAATATCTTGCTCTCGGCTTCAAACTCACCGTATCTACACCGGACGCTAACTGTTGTTGCGTCGCGCCGCAAGTCTACACTGGACGCAACAAAGTGATTGTTACAGATCATTTTAACTTTGTGTCAATACGTCATAAATAGAACAAGGCATCAGTTTAATGTTGGATTTGTCGTGTCGCGCCGCGCCGCATCCAGTGTAAACGGAGTCACTGATTATAATGGGTTCTACTCACTGATCTATATATTCTCTATTATAGATCAGTGGTTCTACTGTATTTTGCTGCTCGCGTCCGGTGTAGTTACGGTGTTAATTTCGTTGGTGTAGAGGAAAGGCCTGTGTGTGTCCTATGCCTTAGTGGACAGCCTGAAACCCACAAAAAAAAACAAATAACTAAATATGAAAAAACTACAGAGAGAATAAGAATAATAACAGTTATTCTCTGTATACTATTTTTCAATGTTTCAAGTGTTGCAGGTGTTTTTTCCGCTGTAGTAAAGTAAAAAAGCATTTATTTTTCATGATGTTTATTGAAATAATTTGGTAGTCTAAGGTGAGATGGGGAAGGGGGGGGGGCTAGATTTTTTTTTTATAGGTTTAAAGGGGGGTGCGACCAAAAAAGTTTGAGAGCCACTGGGTTAACACGATCTATGGTGTCGTGGTAAATGTGTGAGATGAGGAAAGATTGAGGGCGGAAGAGGCAGGCTTCATGTCCGTAAGAGGGAAAAGCGAGCAAAGTTCCATGTTTAACATGCAGTGGAAAAGTGAGAATGTGCTGACATGGCACTTCGTCTGAACTCCAAAATTAATAATCAGACGTGGTTTAGCCTTGCACTGCCAGGAGGCGAAGGCAGCCAAGCTCTGGCCTCTTTGTGGTGGGCCTGAAAAGGAGGGTCTGGCACATGGCCAGTGGGGTTTTGCTTGTTCAGGATTTTTGATTAAATCGTTTATTGTGCTCCACTCACGCAAAGGGCCAAGGCAGCTTTTGCTCCAGAAGGAGTGGAATAAGACAGGAGGAAACGTTTTTTTTTTCATCAGTAAAAATCTTTTGTATGATAAAGACATTTTTTTTCTTTGTTTTCTTTGTGTAGCTTCATCTATTTAGTTTTTTTAATTCTGTTTCATTATCTTTTACTGTGTGATTTTGTAATGCCTTCTAACGTTTGCTTAGTTATTTTGGTTAGTTTTTGAGTTTAATTGTTTTGTGTGAATGCAAGAGGTCTTCAAGGGGCTTTAACCAATAAAACAAGCAAGGAAGGAAGCAAAATATAAAAACTGTCATAAAAAACCATATGCAATTATACATCCCGAAGTCATCACTGTCCTAAGACCAAAGAGAAGTGGGAGACGTGGCCTGCGTTGAGTTCAGTGCTGGCTCTGAGGTGCAAAAATACCCTGATTTTATAGAAGAGCCTTCTCATTATATCACGTCAACAGCCTTCTCCGCTAGACAGTTGCTGCTTTTGGCAGCTTTAGTATTCCACGAAGGACTGCACATTTAGCGCTATATTTAAAAAAGGTAACGGGCAAGTCAAAGTCAAATTTAAAACATTGGCCTCGGGACAGTGAGTCACAACAGTAGGTAGAGAAGGCTGCAATTTTGCAAACCACAATTTAGAAATGAGAAAGTAGAGTGCCGGATTAAATGCTGGTGTTAAGAAACATTTTACTTTAGGATTTGGATTTTGTGTTTTATAAGGCACTCATTTTATTTAGAAAATAAATGTAATCCCATGGTATCCTAATGGCATGATGCTCTTTTTTTATTGTTATAACTATTATTACAAATACTTTAAATATGCAATTCATTCATACAGTGAATTGAATACACTTCTTATATAATGAACATGTTTTTAATTTGTAAATAAAAATGAATTTTGTTAATTTCTAAAAAAAAGTCTGTTTTTTATTTTTTTTTAACTGTCCTGTTGTCATATTGAAGAGAAAACCTTATGAAAAGAAAACCATATTAAATAGTTTGGCATAATCTTGTATTATTTCTAGGAAAAAAAAATGCTTAGCTATTTATTAATATTTGAATGTTTGTCTGCCAATTCAAAGCCATGTTGTGCAGCCAAAAAGTGGGAAAAGTGTAAACAAAACAGGAAGTGATATAAGAGTGAGCACCCCTGCTGACTCTCATGACTGTGTAAAAAATATCAGATAATTTGAGCTTTTATACTTATACTTAAGTAGGTTATGCTTAATATTTATGATAAGATATAAGATGATAAGTCTTTTTACATTAAAAATATATTTAAAAACGTAATGTTAATTATAATAATTAAGGTATGTAAATTCACATATTCAAGGTGTAAGAAAAATGTTACCACTTTTTACTTGATGTTTACACCACATGATATTTAATTGATTTAGTTTAAACTTTTGTTGAAAAAAAACAATTTGCTCTTGGTTTAAAAGGCTTTTCCTTCCTTTAACTTGGACACTCTTAAGTTTGAAATGTTCAGAGGATGATATATTTATGTAATCGTTATAAGCAGAAGTTTGAGGCAAATTGTCTTTTTTTTTTTTTTTTTCTCTCTGCCGTTTCAGTTGCTCCAGTGCTGGACTTGACCAAACAGTTCACACACCCGACACACCCGCCTTCTAATTTTAATAAGTTGGTCGAAGCAATTGAGCGGACAGGTAATACTTTTGTGTCATTGAAGTTTCAGTTGCTCCAGTGCTGGACTTGACCAAACAGTTCACACACCCGGAAACTGCTCCTTCTAATTTTAATAAGTTGGTCGAAGCAATTGAGCGGACAGGTAATACTTTTGTGTCATTGAATGTCATGTAAAGGGCTTTATTGTTTGTGGTTTGTTCGTTAGAGAACCTGACACATGATACGGAGTGAGCAGGAGTCCCTGCAGAGCGCCTCCAGCCACAAGAAAGAATGAAAATAAAAACACATTGGATTTCTACTTCTTTTAATAGATATTTATTTTTTAAATATATATTTCCACATTGAAAATAATAAATTAAATGTGTGAAATGTTTCTTATTACACCATATGTCAGTTATTAACATCCAGATTTCCTCTTTCACTGTGAGCCGTCCCTCTCTTTCTCCCCTGAGCAACGCTCGGACTGTCTGGCTTGACTAAAGCCGTCTTCTCACTTCTTCACAGACTAAAGCAGAGCTCAGGGATTCAGCTGGGCTGTTTTCCCAGTTCTCCCGATAGCGTGACTGGATATATTTATATCTCCGGGCTTTTACATTTAATGTTTAGATATAACTGCTCCTCTAATCCAAGCTGGCATGGAAGATCTATTTTTGAGAGATGAGTTAACGCCTCGATTTTCTGCTAGGTCTGGACTCTAGGACACTTTACAGGACATCCACTGCTTCAGCTTCTGACAGACAGAGCCTCGCTGGTGAGTTTAATCGCAGTTCTCATCCTTTGCCACTTAGGTATGCACTTCCTGTGCAGGAGAAGGCAGTCGGGGTTATTCAGTTTCAGGGCTTAAGGATTTTGATTGCTTTAATGTTATGTCTTATTCTTAGTAGCTATAAGTCTTTCTGTTCTGCTCATTTGTGACCCTGGACCACAAAACCAATCATAAGTAGCATGTTATATTTGTAGCAGTAGCCAACAATACACTGTATGGGTCAAAATTATTATTTTTCTTTTATGCCAAAAATCATTAGGATATTAAGTAAAGATCATGTTCCATGAAGATATTTTGTAAATTTCCTATTGTAAATATATTAAAACTTAATTTTTGATTAGTAATATGCATTGCTAAGAACTTAATTTGGGCAACTTTAAAGGCGATTTTCTCAATACTTTGATTCCAGATATTCAAATATTTGAAACTAGTGAAAAATGTCTTCAAAGTGAACTGTCCTTTTGTCAAAATGAAGGGAAAAAAAAAATTAAAAGAATGGAATTCATGAAATGAAAATTAGTTTGAAAATTCAAATAGTATCTTGGCCAAATATTGTCCTATCTTAACAAACCATACATCAATGGAAAGCTTATTTATCAATTGAAAAAAAAAAAAGGTTTTGTGGTCCAGGGTCACATTATAGATATCAGCTTAGATATCAGCTTGTGTACAATGTTTAAAACTTTTATTATCTATCTGTCTGTCTGTCTATAAAGAAAGTAGAAAGTAATACATTTATTTAAAATATATTTATATTAAGTAATAATTATTTATAGTTCATAATACATATTATGTATAATACAAAATATAAGCATCATTTAAATAATCCTAAAAAGTAAATAAGTGTAATTATTTTCTATCTCCGTTTATCGATCTATATATCAAGAAAGGAATAAATAAATACATGTCTTTATTAAAAAAGTATATATTTTATTGTAATTTGTTTTCATAATACAAAATGTAATCATTATTGTAATGATTTTAGATATATCTGTCTATCAAGCTATATATCAAGAAAGTAATAAATACATTTATTAAATAAATATTTTGTTATATTTATTGGATCATAATAAATATAAGCATTATTTTTAAAGGGGTCATATGATGCGATTTCAATTTTTCCTTTCTCTTTGGAGTGTTACAAGCTCTT